CTATAGTGGTAGCAGGATCTGAAGAACCACGAAATGGCATGCCTGAGATTTATTTAACTTAAAAATAAATAGTTTAAATTTTTTATGTGCATCATAATAAACCATAATTTAATATTAGTATATTAGTATATATTGAAGTTTGTGAAAATAGGAGAGGTTCATGGTTCGACCAGTTAAATATAGGTCGAATCTGATGACATACAAAAAAAATCATTTTAAGAGTGATATATCATCAAAAAATTATCTTGATCAGGCACGCATTTTGAGGAAAATTTAAGTTGGAAACTTCCAAAATTAAAATTGTAACCATCCAAACTCAAAATTTTAGCAAACTTATAGTCGAACTAAGCGGCTCGGAAATACGAACCCAGCGACACCAAAATCGACTCAATCTGAGCCCAAATTGGGTTCAAATCACAATTTCGAAATTGTGGTTTGAACCCTCCAAAGCGCTGTTGGAGGGTTCAAACCACAATTTTGAATACCAAACGGTTTTCAAACATGACTTTCTTATAGACAAATCGAGCGGCCTTACGAGACGAATCCAACGAGCCCAAGTTCACTAAATTCCGACATCACTAAGACCTTTAAATGTCTGACAAACAGTCCACAATCAAGGGATTCAATATCGGTCATCCATCCAACCACTCCCAATTTACCCTTGATCTCTCACCTATTTACGGGTCATGCACTCCAGAAATCTATAAATAGACTTCTCCTTTCTCTTGAAAAGGGGCATCGAAGCAAGAGACCAGAGATCGCTCTTCCCACCTCGCTCCTCTTCAACCACCGCCTAAGCTTAATTAACCGCACCACCGCCTGACGTTGTTCCTCCACCAGACCATCACTTGAGGCCCTCACCTCCTCGTAGAACCACCACTTGATGCTCGGACTTCTGCCGGACCAACAATTGAGGCTCAGACTTCCACCGGACCACCACCTGACCCCCAGATTTTCGCCGGACCACCACCTGAAGCCCGAACTTTAGTCGGACCACCACCTGAGGCTTAGACTTCCGCCGGACCATCACCTGACCCCCGAACTTCTGCCAGACCACCACCTGAAGCCCGAACATCTGTCGGAACACCACCTGACACCTGAACTTTCGCCAGACCAGCACCTGAGGCCTAGACTTCCACCGGATCACTACCTGACGCCCGGATTTTCGTCGGACCACCACCTGAGGCCCTGACTTCCTCCATACCACCACCCGACACCCTGACTTACATCGGGCCTACATCACTGGACAATGGTCTTTCTGACCACGGTCTCCTACCTACCACAGTCTTTCCGACCTCTATCCTATCAACTAAGGTCCTGCCGACCAAACAAATATGTCTATGTTGATTATTGTAACTCCTGCCATGTAATGTGCTTTTATATGATGTACATTTGTAACATGAAGCCAAGGCTTTCTCCCTAAGAAGGGCCTCATTTGTAATCAACTGCAAATGCTAGTAGATTCAATCAAACTTGTCCATGCCTAGTGGGTTTCCCCCTTTTTAGGGGTTTCCACATAAAAACTCTAGTGTCTCTTATGAACGCTACACACTCTCTCTCTCTTATCTGCTTGCGTGTTGGATCTTTGTAAAATGTTAAGACGCTAAAATTTATATTTCTCTACTGCCGCAAATACTCAATGACACAATAAAGAGACAAAATTTTAATAGACAAATGGATCCTTAAATGTTTGTTGATTGGGAAAGGCTCCAAAGTAAAATCCATACAAGAAAATTAACAAAGAGGCAAAACGTCAATTAATATGAAAGAGCTATTTGAGAATTGAAATATTGAATTAAAAAAAAAATATTAGTATTGAACTGATTTGAGCATTAAATCATATTGTTGGTACTTGATTAAAAAAAGAGTATTAGTATTGAGCTGCAGTTGCTTCGCACATGAAGGCTTCGTTTGGGACGGCTTTTTCATTGCTTTCTAAAACGGAGTTTATTACAAAAATAAAAAAAATTGTATTAAAACTCCATTTTAGAAAGCAATAAAAAAACCGTCCCAAACGAAGCCTAAAATACATTACTGGTACTGAATTGCTTGAAATGCTATTTTTTGTAACAAATTCCTTAGTAAGTTGTACATTAGAAACATAATTTGAAATTAATAAATAAAACTTTACAACGTTCCATAGCCAAACTTAGAAATGAAAATGTACTTATAACTGAAAAAATAACAATTAACACAATATTTACGGATGAAATATATATATCTCAATACCATTATATTTGTTAATTACGGTTTGATGGATATGATATACTTGAATTCATAGAAATAAAGAAGAAGAGATGATTCTTTTCGAACTATTTTGTTGACAACCTTTCTATCCAATTTGATCAATTTTTAATGATGTATAATCATCTAGGTCTTAATGCTAAGGTTTAAAAGGCACTCTCTTACCATTCTCATATAGATTTGATTCGATTTCCTTGTTGTTACTTCCCTTTCCATTCAACTTTGCCAATTCATTCATATTTCATCTCCAACAAGAGCTTTACTTATGATATCTTAGGACAAAAGTACAACATACTAAATTGATAATAGTAAGAATATTGAAAAGCACATGTGAGTTACTTATATTTACACTAAAATGTGTCTTAAATTGAAAGCATTTTTGCAATATTGTCAAATAAGGCCAAAAAAGATTTCAATCAAAATTCAAGACAATTTAGAACATAAATATGAATTAGTTTAGGGATTATTTAGTTGTTTGTATTTAGAGTGTAAAGTAATTCAAATGCAAGGGTTTAAGAACTTTTTATGTTTTGTTTGAAGTAAAGTAAAAGGTGAGTGTAAAAGGAGTGTAAACTTGAAGTAAACATTCTGTGTCTCTTCAGAATTCGTACAGGGAAAATTAGATGTAAGCCGCATGGAATGGAATATGAGTCAAATACATGAGTAAATACTTACAGATTCATGGCAACCGAGCCGCATTGGCATATTATTTTAAAACCCACTTTGGTAATCCTTCATCCAAGAACCTCCACTTAAGCACTTTTGTACACACGAACAGGTGGTTGGGACTGGGCCCGCCATCAGTCTGCTATATCTCTGAACTTCATATGGGGTCTTGGACCAGAACAATTATTAGGTCCTCTGACCGAATGTTTATATAGGTTCGGCCATCATTAATTTAACGCCACGTAGCAGCCCGACGACCCGATCCAAACTCGGTATAATTTTGATATTTCACGTCTCTTTTCACGAATGG